TCCGTTTGCAGATATTGGGATTCCTTCCAGTGGATGCTTAGTTTATTTTGTCATTCTGATCGGATTTTCTCTGCTGTTCCGTTTTAATTTTAAATAGTTTTGCATTATGTGGCCGTTTGCTGTTTTATGGGTTTTTCCCATTTGCCTTATAAAATTTATATATTATTAAAGAATCCAGTGGGCCGCCACTGATGCACAGTAGAGATTGCATCTTTAGATCTCCGATCTTGTTCACAAATTCACGGACTAGTGCTGTCTCGTAAGAATTTCGTAGGACGGGTTAAGAATGACCAAATATTCTCTGTATCTACTGGAACCAAGCCACATAGCTCGTATTCCACTATTTGCATTGACACCTGGGCTGTGTATATATATTGCCTTGGTTTGGCTCTGTAATCATTAGTGGTCGTGGGACTAGCTTGGGCCCTGCCTAAGCTGGTCGAACGTTTCGTTTGGGTCTATACCCTAGCTGCACTGATGAGGCCTGGAAGGCCGAAACGGATCCGTCAGCAGATATTGGGATTCCTTCCAGCGGATGCTTAGTTTATTTTGTCATTCTGATCGGATTTTCTCTACTGTTCCGTTTTAATTTTAAATAGTTTTGCATTATGTGGCCGTTTGCTGTTTTATGGGTTTTTCCCATTTGCCTTTTAAAATTTATATATTATTAAAGAATCTCTATTGAGATCCAGCGGGCCGCCACTGATGCATGGTAGAGATTGCATCTTTGGATCTCCGATCTTGTTCACAAATTAACGGACTAATGCTGTCTCGTAAGAATTTCGTAGGACGCGTTACGAATGACAAAATATTCTCTGTATCTACTGGAACCGAGCCACATAGCTTGTATTCCACTATTTGCATTCATACCTGGGCTGTGTATATATATTGCCTTGGTTTGGCTCTGTAATCATTAGTGGTCGTGAGACTAGTTTGGGCCCTACCTAAGCTGGTCGTACGTTTCGTTTGGGTCTATACCCTAGCTGCACTGATGAGGCCTGGAAGGCTGAAACGGATCCGTCTGCAGATATTGGGATTCCTTCCAGCGGATGCTTAGTTTATTTTGTCTTTCTGATCGGATTATCTCTACTGTTCCGTTTTAATTTTTTACATATATATATATGTATATATGTACTAGTCACTTCGTCAGTAGCGAGTGAGTGAGGGTAGAAAAAGCCAGGTAGTATGCAAGCATGATTAGAAACAATGTGCCATGTGAGACAGGGCAGTAAGGGTAAATAAACAACATGAGCAAAATGTGTACAAGAAAGCCAAAGCTAAACTGTAGAGGCACGCCTCTATGAATAAGCCAAATGATTTATGGATTAAATTTTGGATGTCATTGGATTGATTTAGTATACTGTGAGAACGTTCCTAATTTTGAATGCAAAATATGGCATGTGGTGGTTTGAGTAAAAGTTCCTAGTGATTTTCCTTATCCTTACGATTTTTGCACCTCCAATTGGCATTATGATCTATTGCAATAACTCTGGAATTGGCGATTGAGTAACCACCTGAACTGAAATATTTGGCTAATGGTTGATCAAGCTTAGATGTTTTGATAGATGATCTGTGTTGTATCATTCTCATACAAAAAGTGTTTTTTTTTGTTTGGTTTCTCCAACATATTATTTACCACAAATATTACAACACAATATACGAGATAAATGACATTTTTGGTAATTGAATGCCTTTTCCGGAATATGTGGTTTGTTTGGTTGCTTGCTTTGAATGATTATGTAGAATCAAATGTGAGACAACCCTTGAGGAACATCAAGTGTGATTGATAGAGGATCATCTACGCCGTTTATAAGAACTTGTCTGCCATTTCCATTAAACTTCATTCTCTCAATAACATTCCTCGAAGCATCGGTCCAGAACAATTTTCTATCGGGACGGTCAACAGCAAGTGACACATCTAAAAACGAAAGGCAAAGCAAACATGGCAATAACTTGCGTAAATGTAAATATATAACTTTATATGTATGTGTATGAATCTACAATATATTTTAAAGCTATTTTTTAGCTCAGCTAAGCCACTTCTAGCTTATACCCGGTCAGCACTCTGGGTGGCTGATGGGAAGCAAAAGATTAGGATAAAAAAGTGTGGGCTGTATGTCTAGCATAATGTTAATAATAAAATAATAATGATGATATTTATAAAGTGCCTTTTTCTGGGTAGGTTACAAAGCGCTGGATGAAAGGTCAAGAATGATCAACAGAAAATCACAGATCTTGGGTTAGATGTATATTAAAGCATTAGAAATTTTGCCGCTTTTGTTTTAAGACGGAAGTATGCAAAGAAAGAAAGTAACAAAATACTTCTCTGTTCTTTTAAAACAAACATCACTTACAAACTTTGAAGATTGAAACTTATGAAAAACCGTCTAAAGTGGCTAGTACCATTGTAAAACACCTTCTTACTTGCTAAGTTTAACACTACAGCTTCTGTATATTCTTCAGTCAAAGAGTACCTCCATATGGTACCATTGTACTGATCTGCCCAGAAGATGTCAAAGGTGCGTGGGGTGTAATCTACAGATGTTGGGAATTCAGGAGAGGGAAAAACACCGAGTTGCTGAAACGCAACATCTTCTAAGTTGTCATGGTCAATGTATGAGAAAAAGATTCCAGGTGTAGTGACACTGCTCACAATTATGAAGTCACCTGTTATCTCTGTTGGTCAAAAAACAAATTAAATACAGATTATACCAACTCTTAAAAGGAACAATTTTGATTCAAGTTATTGAATAACCCTATATAAGGGTATATAAATATGATACTGTATGTTGTACTTTAAGAAAGAAAATCAGACCATTCAACATCATGTTTTAAGTTAAAATAATTCAATCTGATTAGCAATAGATAGAAGAAACCACACACGAAGAGTGCCACTTCTTTGAATTTATAGCAATATATTATAATCAATAAAAGATAAAAAAAATAAATTATTAACTGCCAATGTGTGTGTACAAAAGTAGACACAATGTTTTGGTTTACAACATATTCTATCATTATAGACAAGCAAGTAAATGTATTATTTCAATGTTTTTACAAAAAACATATAATTTACGCAGTACTTGCCTTCTCTATTAAATCTAGAGATATACAAAGAATATGGTATTATATCATCATCCTCACTGAAAGCTACTATATCCTCTCCCGTTGTTTTGTCAGCACGATATATTTGATCTTTATCTAAATCAGTCCAATAGAGGTATGTATTGTAAATCTGCAAAGTCACTGCTTGAACAATCAGAATAAGTTCTTGACGGTATCCAGTGGACATATCTAAAAATGCTACATTTTCATTACCAACATCGCCCCAGTACAACCGATTAACTATATGAAAAAAAATTACCGGGATAATTAGGTTATAAGAATGAATTATAGGACACAATTATGACAAAATACAAACTGCATTTAAAAAAAATTATTCTAATACCAATATATTTCGATATGCATATTTTAATATGTGGGCTGCAGTTTTAGGATTTGAATTATCCTACACTGTGCATAGTTTGGATTTGCAGGCTGCAGTCTTCTGATTTTATTATTTATTTATTACAAAATGTTAGGAGAAAAAACAATATAAAATGCCCTCTAATAATGGATAACCAAAAGTAAAACACTAGTGAGGATTCTCCAATGCATCATTAACATAAACTAGAGGGCTAATAGCCCTAAACTCACAGGCTTTAGGTTGCCAAAGTTTAGGTCGGTTGCAGGGCAATTAAAAGTGAAATCATTCCCTATGAAATGTTGTAATGTATGTAAGATGATACTACGTGGTTAACTACGATTACTGTAATCTGCTATTTGCTATTTTTTTATTTGGATAAGCAAGTGGCGACTAATACACGGTTTCAATAAATGAAGCAAAAACAGCATTTTGCACATTGTGTAATGTTATTTTGTATTTTCTTCAACATCTTTAATATTTTTTTTAGAAAAGTGTAGCTAAAAAACTTTTTCTTTAAATAATATATAAAATATAGTAACAATAATAAAATAAAAAGCACATTACATTTTAAACAAGGTATATTTTCTGTGATACTGAATACTGTGTAAGTTTAATACTGAACTACAAAATAGCACAAAAAAATGACGGCAATGAATTAAAAACTGATGGAGACAAGGGTGTTGAATTGCAGATATTAGCATGACATCGATATCTCATCATTTCTGATAGGAGGTAATGGCATGCAGCTTCCTTTTCCTTTACCCAGCTGAAAAAAGTAAACAGATTGTTAATACAGTATTTAATATTCAAATAATATTGTATAATACAAAATGAAGACATACAGCTGGACAGCTTTGTAATGATTATCACTGCATATTTTGTATAGCATTCAATACAGGACTAAAAATAGTAGTAGTAGCAGCCAGGCCTGGAAAAAATATTTTGTGCCTCTGACCTTGAAAATTATCTTGATAAATTGTCTCCAGCACCAAATGTTATCTTTACACAGTGGTTTGGACAAGCAAAATATAAAATTTAATTACCAGTACGCATTAAATTGTGATGTGTAAAAAAAAATTCCTCCGCAGTAATGGTCAATGTATCCGACTGCCGGTCGCGCACATTTTCCAGCTCATGGTAGCAGCAATAGTGCAGTAATAGTACTGATGAATCATAGGCTAGTGTGTGTAACTATGGGGTATTTTTATACTGCCATGGTGTAACTAGAAGTAGAAAAGCCTAGGCCTCTACTTCATTAATTGACAGAGTCCAAATGTCTGGATATCTACAGTAGGCCTACTGTAGGTTATACTACGGTATACACTAGCAGACAAGTTTTATTTAGCTGAATTCAGGACTATAAAAGTAGAAGGCCCAATAAAAATATGATTAGTTATCACCCTCGCCGCATATCTTCTATGAGTGAAAAAAAAATGATTTTCTTTTTCTTTTTTTTTTTTTTGATTAACCTAGTAAACAGTTAAAAAGTGGGCCTAGATATAGATTTAGCCTACTCATACTTTCGTTAGAACATCGCTGGCATACTATCTTATAGTGTAGACTCACCCTGGAAATATTGTGTTAAAATTAAACTGGGGCCTAGACCTAGCTATAGGCCTACTGCTACTACTGACTACTACTACTCTATCATAGGGCCAGCTAGCTGCAGTAGAGTAGTGGGACTGTGGTACATGGTAGGCCACGCAATACTACTGACGGATAGTCAGAAAAAGTTTGACTCACCTTGTATCTTTTATGATGAAAATCGATGCCTTATTTGACGGTTATATTTGTCTACTCATGGAAGAATAAGAAACTTATTCCTCTGTGGTCTACCACCATCCGCGCGTGACCAAACAGGAGAGACCTGTCGTGTCAACGACAACATAACATAGGCCTAGGCCTAGCCTAGACAAGACCCCACATCATGCCATGTGCCAATTTTAAAGCTAAGCTTGATACATGTAGTCTACAATCCAGCCGCTGTTTGTAATAATTCTTCACCAGCTTAGAATGGATTTCATTGGACGTCAGTAATTAAAGTTTTAAAAAATTGTTTTAAAACCACCAAATAAATGAATAAATGAGTGTAACGGATAGAAAGGACAATTACCCATAAAATTTGTATGAAACTTTTTAATTATCTTAGAAGTTATACAAAATAGACATTTTTACCATAAAAATAGCCTGAAACGACGTTTCCCGCAATAATTTTATGAAAATCCCTGATCATTAGAGTAAGAGTGCTTTGATCTTTTGTTTAAATCATTGCTATGTCACCTACTAGAGGTAATGTTTTGATTGGTTACACACTTTTGGTACTAGTGCATATAAGCTTGCTAATATGGATAATTTTTTCATTCCTGATGATGACATAATTAATGTCGAAATATTGAATCCCAACACGATGGCGTGTATTTCAATACTTGGAGTATGTATTATACTTTCTTATCCCTGAACAACTTACAGCATTCAAGCATTCACTATTCACAACCTGGGATAGGCCTACATAGGCCTACATCGAATTAAAACTGTGAGAGAAAGTAGCGTTTTTGTGAATTTAAAAAATGACCTCTGCTGATTAAAAAATCAACGAAACCCCACATTTCATCAATCCCCCACAAACAGCACGTTCCAAAAGTTCCAACTGTATCGGAAACTGTATCACGCTAAAAACGAACGAATGAGAGCATTTTGCAGCTGTTGACGTGTTTTTTGCCGCACCATCACAATAACTCACAGGCCCGACATGAGTTAAAAATTGGAACATTTTTTATTGAATGAGAAGTATTACATATATATTTAATGAAACATTATTTTTTTCTCATTTATATAATTTTTAGTTATTTCTGATAATATTGCAGCTTCTCCCAAACCATGTGGCTATATTTGTATAAATGTTGCTATTGCTATAAGGGTTTGTGCTAATATTAAACAATGGGCTTCAATACTGGTTCATTTCGTTGAGTACCAATTTTCGTTGAGTATTACTTTCATTGAGCATCGACTGGTTTGTAAAATAGACTTCGTTGACAACGAAAATTAACGTAAACAGAATGCGTTAAGCTAGTTATGCAGGTGACCAAAAAAAAATATGGCCGATTTGTCAGTTTAGCAACAACATTTACGTTAATATAATTTAGATTAAATTTCAGAAAATAAAAATTATGTTATTTACCCACATTGAAGTAAAAAAAATAATTGTAGGCTAACAGAATTAAAAAACTGGATGAAAATATGTTTTTACGAAAAACCCAAACTGCCATAATCCGAAGCAGCCTTGATTACGCAGCGTTATCGCGGTAGGTAGTGGCTATCGGCACTGCCGCAGTGCCGATTTGGCACTGCCGCAGTGCCAAAAAAAGCTGCTGTTTTCTATCGGCACTGACGCAGTGCCATAAAGCTGCCGTTTTCTATCGGCACTGCCGCAGTGCCAAAAAGCTGCCGTTTTCTATCGGCACTGCCGCAGTGCCAAAAAGTTGCTGTTATCTATCGGCACTGTCACAGTGCGAAAAGCTGCTGTTAATTAATCGAATCGATGTTTTTATCGATAGATGACATTGGTGTAATTCATAATTCTTAATTTTATTTCACTCAAAACGTAATGAGACTGGTTAGGCAAAAACATGTCCTTGTAGAAGATGAAGAAGATACTACTACTACTACTACTACTACTAATAATAATAATAATAATAATAATAATAATAATAATAAATAAATAAATAATAATAAAAAGTAAATGATAATAATAATAATAATGAATGAAGATCAAAATGTATCACTGAAGTGAATTCAGTTATTTATTAAAACAAGATTTGGAGGGCTGGACTGTCATGAAGGTGTTGTATTAATAATGTTCTAAATATTTGCCTTTATTATATCA